GAAGGGACCCTGCAAGTCATCTAGTCCAACCCTTTGCAATGCAGGAATCTCAGCTAAAGCACTCATGACAGATGGCCACCCAACCTCTGCTTAGAAACCTCCAAGGAAGGAGAGTCTGCAACCTCCCAAGGCAGCCACTATTCAACTGGGCTATTGCTCCTATCTTAGGAGCCCCAAGTATAGACTACTACAATGTGCTTTGTTTGGGACGGCCCTTGAAGACTCTTTGGAGGCCTCAGCTAAGAGCACCAGATGTGTCTGCTGCTTCCAGGGTCACTGGGACAGTGTTGCAACAGCTTCTTCCCTGTGGGCAAAATTCAGCAGTCGGTTTGCCCACAAACGGTGGTTCTTGCACCTCTGAAGGAACATCTCTTGCCTGCCCTCCAACTGTCCCACACAGGAACACCAAAGAGATATGTTTTCGGTGGTTTCCCCACTGTTCCTACAGAACAGCCTGCCATCAGGGCCTCCCTGAGATGGAATCTAAGCTGTGACCATTTATGGTTTTCTGCTGTTTCTGCAACTGGGCTAATCCATCACATATGCAGAAATGTCCCATAATCCCAACCCCTCCAGGTTTCTGAGCTTGGAACTTTCTGTATGGAAATATAGTCAACTGACCCTTCACATGTTCAGGGGTGAACAGTTGACTAAAGCGTCAGATAAAGGCAGCTCCAGTTGCCCTGACGCTGATATATCACCTGTCACATGACAATCCTCCTGCTGCATCTAAAGAGGAATGAATAAATGAATTTTATTATTTCAGTCACAGACCAGTTCCAGCCCACATACAATATCAAGGAAATCATAAAACATGATAGGGATACATTTGAATTTGCAATTAGGTATAACAGGGCAATATAGATATAGCAACAGTTAAAAAATATGTGAATTAAAACTTAGTCACTAACATATAATCTAAAATTATCATTTAAAACCTTAATCATTATGATAGCGCAGCTTGTTTTATGGCAAGCACACAGAATTTGACTACCCTTACCGTGATCTCAGGATCCTTGCCTCTACCAGGGATTTATTTTTTTTATAAGATATTTATTAGGATTTTTTAAAATATTACAATAAAAAATGAAAAAGAAAAAAATACAAAAGAAAAATGATTAAAAACACTCAGATTTTCCATTGCTTATTTTTCTTTAGCTTGTTTCCCGGACCTCCTCATACCTCCCTTTTTTGTATTCCAGTTCAGTTTGTTGGTTCAGCCTCTACCAGGGATTTTAGACATTGCAGTTCGGATTCATTTGGAGATTTTTGCATAGCAGGGGTAATAAATGCTGAGTGTATATCTCTGTAGAAATGGCAGCATAATAGGGCACGAGAGACAGTTTCCACCTCCATCCAGCCACAGGGGCAGACTCATTCAGCGTATGATTTACCCTCAAATCTGCCCTGCAATAAGGGAGGTGGCAGCACGTTGAATCTAGCAAGGGTGAATGACCATCTGTATTTAGGTATTTGTAATTTTGACCAATAATTTGCTGGGGTGAATCATCTCCCGTTATCTTTTATTGCTGGGTGTTTATTCATCTCGTTCATGTGGCATTGCAGTTCCACATCCCAAATTCGTTGGCGGATTATTGCTCTAGCTTTCTCATAACCTACAGCTATCAGGGCCTGTGGGGAAAACCCCAAGCCAAAGAGGAATGTCCAGCTGAAACAGCCACCTCGGGCACACCATGGCTGTGATTCCTGCATTACAGGGGTTGAACTAGATGACCTTTGGGGGCCCCTTCCAACTCTGCAATTCTATTATTCTATGACCCTTGGAGGGACTTGCTGAAATCATGAACAATTAAGCATAGCATTCTTTACTGTGCCCTGGTGTTTATGGGACTTCTAATTAGTTTTGCTTTATTTCTTTGTTTCACTAGTCATTGCTCCAGATGCTATAGACCTATCCAAACTAAATTTTGAAAATGTCAACAAGAAGAACAACAGAATCAAAGGGAGGAGGCAAATGTAGTCCCATGTAAGTGCTAATTAGATAGACAGATAATTTCTTAGGTTCAAAGACCAGCTCGCATAACACAGTAAAAACAGCGTCCATAAAGATAAAATATACAATCAGAGCAGATTGCAGCAATAGCTCATGTGTTAAAATTGAGATATATACATGCACCCGTACAACTGAGATTTGGGCTACCATAAAAATTGACCCTGAGGCACCCCAAAGTGCAACTTCAGCATTTCCCTGGTAAGCTATTTTATTCTGTGCCTACAAATCTGGGCGCAGAATCTGGCTACCAGCCAGGTCGTCTTGTGATCTTTGCCTAAGAGGAGAGAATTAAGTTTAGACTTGTCTGAAAGATCGGCGAGCCTCTTCAGCAAAGGATCAATGGTGTCTCTACAAATCTCAACATCAAAAGGACATCTGAAAAATATATGTTTGGGGCTTCCTATTTCTCTGTGCGTACAGGACTCTTCTATAGGAGCTTTCCAGAACCGGTGAGGGCAAGGCTGAGCTTCTAGCAAGAGTGAAAACCCTTCTTGCATTTCTGGATTCTACTCAGAAGAGCCAACACAGCACCCTCCCGAGATGTCTGGATTGAACTGAAGGCACCTTTATGGAGACACGAAATTCATGCTTAGCAGGGGGTTGGACTAGATGACCCTCTGGGTCCCTTCCAACTCTTCAGTTCAATTATTCTAGGTCTTCTCATGCCCCCTGCTGCCCAGAGACAAAACTGCAGGCCGGACTGAACAATGAAGCTCCGGCTGAGCTGCGTGGGAAGAAGAAGGAGATGGGATGGCCAAAATCCATATACTCTGCAGTTGCGAGTCATAGAATAATAGGATTGTAGCGTTGGAAAGGCCATCAAGACTTCTGCCATTAGACACCTCACAGCACTCCAGCAGCAATGGCTCCTGGACCTGAGATACTTTGCCGTGAAGGAGAAAGAAACTCTACGTCTTGCATCAGAAACCATCTGGAAATGCTATGGGTTAATTTCCTTGGTGGAATATTGGATTGAGGTCAGCGCATTGCTTCTCTGAGCCTCCTGACTCTGGGACTCTAAAAAATTGGGTAGGGAAATGCTTGCTGCTGCAGAGGAAACTCCATGCTCTTCCGAGATGAGCTGAAATCAAAACTTTAACTGTGGCTCCGCTGCCATGTCTCAGAAAGTTCTGTATTTGTGAAACTGAGCGTGATTAAGTAGGCACAAGATGTGGGGCACAATATTGATTATGATTATGTGACTGGGGGCAGCTGCCGAGACCACATAACACCGGTCTTGAAAGACCTACATTGGCTCCCAGTACGTTTCCGAGCACAATTCAAAGTGTTGGTGTTGACCTTTAAAGCCCTAAACGGCCTCGGCCCAGTATACCCGAAGGAGCGTCTCCACCCCCATCGTTCTGCCCGGACGCTGAGGTCCAGCACCAAGGGCCTTCTGGCGGTTCCCTCATTGCGAGAAGCAAAGCTACAGGGAACCAGGCAGAGGGCCTTCTCGGTAGTGGCACCCGCCCTGTGGAACGCCCTCCCATCAGATGTCAAAGCAATAAATAACTACCTGACATTTAGAGGGCATCTTAAGGCAGCCCTGTTCAGGGAAGCTTTTAATCTGTGATATTTTACTGTATTTTTTGTTTCTATGGAAGCCGCCCAGAGTGGCTGGGGAAGCCCAGCCAGATGGGCGGGGTACAAATAATAAATTATTATTATTATTATTATTACGGGGAAAGTTGTGGAAAATAAATATGAATTTCACTGCATGTTATGAAATAAAAGAAAATATGCTGAAAATGGCCCACGGATGGTATTTAACACCCACCAAATTGGTGAAAATATCTAAAAAAGAAAAAAGTATATGTCAGAAGTGTAATGAAATTGGGGAATCTTTTATCCACATGTGGTGGTCCTGTAAAATAATTAAGGAATATTGGGAATATATACTGTAGAATGAATTTTAAAAGATAGTTTAAAAAACTTTCCCCCAAACACCTGGATTTTCCTCTTGGGGATGGTAACAACTGAGGTCCCCCAAAACAAAAGAGTTTAGTACTATACGCCACAACTAGAACCCTACTGGCACAAAAATGGAGAACACGTCTAGTACCCACTCAGGAAGAATGGCAGTGTAAAATGTTTGGATATGTTGAACTGGCTGGTCTGATGAACAGGAGAAGAGAAAACGAAGATAAGAAATATAAGGAGGAATGGAGAATGTTTATTGACTATTTCAGGAACCAGAATAGACAAATACATACTTAGCAGGTCTTGTGTAAATCCAGCAGAGTTAAATAGATAGAATATTCAAGATATAACAAACTGGATGATTAAAAAGATGTGGATTACGCAGAGTAGTAGAAAAGCAAAAGGAATCAGGAAAAGACTGGAAAGGAAGTCATATGGTATATGAAAACTTGCTGTATTTGATAAGAAGTTGTAAGTGGGGCAGGGGGTTAAATATGCTCTCTGTTCCTATTTTTGAAAATGCAAATAGGTGATAGATAGATGATAGATAGATGATAGATGAGAGAAAGTTCTATATCTTCATTGCATCATTGCTTCTTACTCCATGCATACAGCCCATGCAAATGTGGTAAACAGGCTCCTTAACTGGTGATTTCTTGAAAGGGTTTCCTGCCCACCCTCTAACAGCTTGTTTCCTGAGCCCCATTTCCTCATTCTTTTCATGCTTTTGTATTTTTATGGCTAGCTAGACCCCTTCCGTCCTCTTTCGCCATTTTAGATGAGAAGTAAACTGGCTGTTTCTATAGCCATTTCATAAGAAGAAGAACGCAAGGCTTGTTTTAGGTCCGTTTGAACTCTTGTAACCTGTTGATAGGTGACAAACAGACCCTGTTCCTTATGTATGTGGGACCTTTTCATCTCCCACCTGCTTCGAACCTTGGAGCTGTTGGTCCTCCAATTAAAATACCGCCTGGTGGGATGTCCTTGTACACTTGGTGTTCTCTCTTGGACTCCTTGATCACTGGAGCTCAAATTAAGGCTTCCTCAGTGCTTCATGTCCTTAACCGACCAAGCTCATCATCAGATGACTCTTTTCCAGCCCAAGTCTTGCCTCCCAGCTTCAGAGCTGGTCTGGGCATCATCAGCTGTAGCTGGAAGAGAAGAGGGGGCAAGGACTGATCTGCCCAGCTCATCTTTGGGGCATCCAACTTATCTCCAAAGAGCACAAGGAGATTTGAGCTCCTCATAATTCTTCTCCTTCTGCAGCTCCTCCTTCTTCTCTGGGCCAACCTGGCCTCTGTACCTGCAGGTAAGAATCATTGTGGAAGAAGCCTTGCAGACTTGTAGCATTGGAAGGGAGCCACAAGGGTCTTCTTCAGTGGCAAAAACTTGGTTTGCAAGTAATGGTTTCAGCTGTGTGGGTGCTTGATTTCCCTCAAACAGAACGCACGGGGGCAGGTCCGCTGCAAAGCAACTCGGGTCACAGCCTGGATCAGTAGTCCTGGGGATTCAGAGCCTTCTCCAAGCCCCACGATGAGGTCCAAGGACATCTTCTTCCTTCTTCCAGCCTTCGTTGCCCTCTGGGCCAAGTTGCCTATGGTGTCTGCAGACCTTGGTGAGTACAGGGCTTGAAACCCTTGTGGTCCAGTGGGGATTGTTCTTTGATTCCCTGCCTAAATCATAGAAATGTAGAGTTGGACGGGACCTATTGGGGTCCTCTAGTCCAACCCCCTGCAATGCAGGAATCTCAGCTAAAGCATCCTTGACAGATGACCATCCAACCTCTGCTTTAAAGTACCCATTGAAGGAGAGACACGCTTTTATTCAGCGACACCTTACAGGACAGAGTCCCAAACTTTAGCCACTATAGGTCATCTTGGCTGTTTCGTCCTCTCCCCAACCGCCTTCTGCCATCCCATTGCCCCACCATCTCTCATCCAACCACACTTTCCCCTTTCTTGATGAAATCCATTAAATGATCTGTGACTTCCCCTTTCACCGCTGAGTTTCCGCTTGCATCACTTTCCTGGCTCTCTCTCTCTGAACCTGCTGCCTCTTGCCTCCACCCCTTTCCTTCCTCGTAGAACTGTCAATTTGGAAGGGACCTGTTGGGGTCATCTAGTCCAACCCCCTGCCATGCATGACTTGAAGCTAAAGAATTCATGGCAGGTGGCCATCCAACCTCTGCTTAAAAGCCATCACCTTTGGAGGGAGTCCACTAAGCAGCCTTGGCCCAGTAGACCTGAAGGAGCGTCTCCACCCCCATCGTTCTGACCGGACACCAAGGTCCAGCGCTGAGGGCCTTTTGGAGGTTCCCTCACTGCAAAAAGTGAGGTTACAGGGAACCAGGCAGAGGGCCTTCTCGGTAGTGGTGCCCGCCCTGTGGAACACCCTCCCACCAGATGTCAAAGGAATAAAGAACTATCTGACTTTTAGAAGACATCTGAAGGCAGCATTGTCTAGGAAAGTTTTTAATGACTGGTGTTTTAATGTATTTTTAATCTTTGTTGGAAGCCGCCCAGAGTATCTGGGGAAACCCAGCTAGAAGGGAGGGGTATAAATAATAAATTATTATTATTATTATTATTATTATTATTATTAACCTCTCAGCAACAGAAAGTTCTTCCTAAGGTTGGGTGTGAATTTCTTTTCTTGGAATTTGAATCCATTGGTTTGGGTCTTCTCCTCTGGAGCAGCAGAAAGCAAGCTTGCTCCATCCTCCCTGGATCCTAGAACCTAGATGGTTCTAGGTTCACCTCTCCTTCTCCTCTTCTCCAGGCTAAGCAGATCCAACTCACTGAGCCCTTTCCAGAGCCTTTATCACCTAGGCCAGGCATAGGCAACCTCAGCCCTCCAGATGTTTTGGGACTACAATTCCCATCATCCCTGACCTCTGGTCCTGTTAGCTAGGGGTCATGGGAGTTGTAGGCCAAAAACATCTGGAGGGCCGAGGTTGTCTATTCCTGACCCAGGTGGTCTCTGTCTCTTTTTGAACTCTCTGCTTTCCAGACTTCTCAGCGCCCCATTCCTGTTCTCACTGCCCCCACCAGGTATCTGCATCATCCCTCCGGACGAAGGACTCTGCTTTATCCTGCAAGAGCGCTGGTACTACAGCTATGAGAAAAAGGAATGCCTGCCCTTCAACTGGGGGGGATGCCAAGGGAACGAGAACAACTTTGAGAGTCGGAAATTGTGTGAAGCTGCCTGCAGCAGATATGGTAAGCCCCCCCAGAGAAGCCCCCATCCCGCAGAGAGGGTTGCTCAGCTCCAGAAGCCCATTTTAAAATGTTGAATCCCAGAGGTTTAGTTATTGGGCTATTTGGTCATCACATTTCACAGAATCGTGGAGCTGGAAGGGAACCCAAGGGTCATCCAGTCCAACCCCAGAAATTTATAGCCCACCTTATAGCCCACCTCAAGGTGGCCCAAGTGGTTCTCCTCCTCATTTAATCCGCACAACAAACCTGCGAGGTAGGTTATGCTGAGAGGTCGTGACTGGCTCCCAAGGCCACCCAGGGAGCTTCTTGGCTGGGTGGGGATTCGAACCCAGGACAGTGGAGGGCATGTGGTGAAGTGGTGGTGAGACTCGCCCTTCTGATCGGACATGTTCTGTGGGGGGAGGACAAAAATGGGGGGCCAAGAATCATCCGTTGCTGGGGGAGTGAGAAATGTCCCTGTTTTCATCTGAGGGAAGCTGGAGGGAAGGCTCCAGGGCTTTTCTGATTCCCAACATGGTCACTCAAGCTCTTTTATGGCTTGCAGCCTGAGATCCTGGAGGGGGCATATGGCCATTGCGACTAGAAGCCACTGGCGGAGTTCTCTTCCTCCTCTGTGAATTAGAGACCACTGTCACAGTGAGTTCCACAGTCTAACTATATGCATATATCCAGAGATTCTTAGAAGACTGGAGTAAATATATGAACTAATTGAAAAGCAGTTGTGATGAACAGATCGCGCTAGTAGGTTTGCAAGAAGTTTTGTAAGGTGGAATATTGGAAATATTGCAAGAAAGACTATGAGATGAACTATTAGTTAATGATAATTAAGAGTAATAGGGAAATTAAGAAATGCAGAATAAGTGATAAAGAACGGAAAATCATCAGAGGTGTTGACGGAAGTCTAAAACATTGTATAAGATGAGAAGATATGTTGTATGACTGTTGGAACTGATATGTTAAAAAAACCAATAAAAATGTGTGTGTGTGTGTGTGTGTGTGTGTGTGTGTGTGTGTGTGTATATATATATATATATATATATATATAATAACTATATGTATGCCCTCTAACATTTCTCCAGTGACAATAGGGACATCCTATTCAAGAATAAGAATAAGAATAAGAAGAATACCCTTCCCACCTGACAGGGTTGCCCCAGGTGGCTTCCAACATACCGTATTGGCCCAAATATAAGCCGCACCCGAATATAAGCCGCACCTTTAAAATTCATGGGGGGAGGGAGAAAGACAATACCTGAATATAAGCAACTCCCTTAAAATTCTGCAGGCACTCACACCCGTTCTGTTTTACCGTATGTCTGTTTCAGCAGCGATATCATAAAAGCCAAATTTTGTAAGGTTGCAAATTGAAGCTGTGCTTTAACTTTTCACGGTCAGATTTTTTTGCGGGGGGAGTGAGGCTTATATTCAGGCCAATACAGTATATAAAAACACAAAATCCCTATACAGGGCTGCCTTCAGATGTCTTCTAAAGGTTGCGTAGTTACTTATCTGCTTGGCTCTGGGGTCACAGAACTCCCTACCCTCCAACATTCCTCTGGTGAAAATAGGGATTTCTTAAGGAAAAGAGGGATATTCCAGGATCAAATCAGAAACTAGGATGGTTTCTGTAAATCCAGGACTGTCCTTGGAAAGTAGGGACACTTGGGGGGTTTGTATTTGCCCTCTCTGCCTCTGGAGGAGAGCCCTGGGTAGGTTTCTTGGCTTGTTGTCCATTCTGGGTGAAGACTAAAATTATCAGTCTTGCTGAAGACAAACCAGAACGGCTTCTGCGAAGTTTAGTTCTGTCTTACTAACCTAAACTGCTTTCAAGGGTTGTTTCTTTATGAAATGAAAATTAATAAATCAATTTATCGCCAAGGATCTCCTCCACCAAATCCTCTCCTGACTCCGGCCGAGAGAAGGAAAGCCTTTAGTCAGGATGAGTCCCGTGAGGCTGACGCTTGCCGCCTCTTCTCCCCACAGCCTAACAAGGATGCTGGAGAAGACTAGATTCCTCTGAGCACCAGCTGAGAAGCAGTTGAGAAGAGGGGCAAGATTCTGCGCCAGGCAGCAACTCCTGCTGGGGGTTCGCTTTGTGTTTCTCCTCTCCAAATAAATGGAACCTGACTAGTATGAGTACCTGATTCCGGGTGAAATGGTGTTCTTATCAGCGTGAGTGCAAGGGAACGTATCTTCCAGGCAAATTTCCCTGGAGGGAAGTTTGCAGACAAGAGGAATCAAATCTGTTTAATTCAAACGCTCCACATTTGGTACGTGTTATACCTCCGTTAATGATCTTTCAGTTGAAATGGTATGGGGAAATGATTGTTCATTGTGTTGTTAACGGGAAACATAACTGGCTAAACAAATGAAGCAAGAGGCTTAATATTAATCAGTTTGAAACCAAGTGAAAAATGGTATATACTGGAATGCAATTTGGGCTTTATGAGAGAACAGGATGCTGCGCTAAATGGGCTGTTGGCCTGATCCTGCAACCTCTTCTTGTGCTCTTATGAGCTGCAGTCCAGCACATATGGAGGGCAGAAGGTGGCTGACATTGAGGTTTTCCCCAGCCATGCTGGAGATCTGACCTGGACCAGCTCCTAAAGACTCCTGCAGCGTCAAAGCCTTTATCAGAAGAGCAGTTTGGCTCGTGGGTGCCTATAGCTGGAAACCTGCATGCATTTTTATTTTATCTAATGATCAAAACAAGATCATGATGTGTCGGGAGAGAGAAATGAAGGCAAAATGTCCTGCCAGACTCCTACGTATCTCATCTTGATGCAAAAGAGACCTTTTTTCCCCTTTGTGTAGACAGGATAATATGACCACTGAAATTTCCAAAAGCTGCAGGGTGCATGGCAGAGCACCTAGCAGGGGTGAGTTTTGGGTTTGGTGCAGCCAAAGACATGGACCTCAGGGGCAGAGGCAGGCGCCCCTCTGTGGGGAAGGAGTGCCACAGCTCAGGGGCCACCACTGAGAAGGCCCTCTCTCCTGGGGCCACCACCCTCAGCCTCTGAGGGCAGAGGGCCCCCTTTGCTGCTCTCAGCTCCCCAGAGGGTCTGCAGGGAAGAAGGCGCTGTAGCCACCCAGTCTGGGAATGTGGGGGGATCACAGAGCGCTCACAGTGATCCTCCAGGGTTTGGGTTTGGCCCACCACAGGGGATTTATTTCTGCTCAAGGCAATCTTGGGCGATATTCCTGGAGACACATGCCATTGCCGGACGAGGTCAGTGGCAAAAGGTGGGCAGAGCCACTGCATCTTTGTACTGTGGGTCAGTCTCCGGCCATGCAAAAGTGGTTCCTTGTAGGGGTGCAAAGATCCAGAGTGTGGGGGTCAGGTGGGATTGCTATGAGGAATTATGAAATATGGAGCAAGCCATTGTGTCCGCGATGAACGCATTGCGTTGACTGGGTTTAATTCATTGACAATAATTTCTGATCGAATCCCACAAGCCCCTGCATCTCTGTTTTCTGTACACCCGACAGTCACGTATCAGCATTCTAAATACACAGGCCAGTTGTTCATCAGGCATCCTGGGTCATAAAGCTAGAAGGTAACTTTGACGTAGCTTGTTAATCGTTCACAAGGAGGTGGTAAATACTACCTATCCTTCCTCTCCTGTTTATTGCTGTTTATGACCTCTGGAGTTTCCTAAAAGCATTCCTCCTTGCTTTCTCTTTTATTTACTCTGAATTACGTATGCATGCTCAAGTAGGAATTTAGCTCTTTGTAGTTTTAATCTTTAACTTTGTCCCACGTGGGGTTTTTTGAAATGCTCAGAGGAAATCTGATTGGTTCTTACGAACACTGTGTAAAAAGTTCTTTTGTGAATAAAACGACCTGGGCCGAGGGGTGGACAGGAATTATTATTTATTGGCACCTCCTCCCAGAGTCTTGCTGGTCAAGCCTCGTGTGTATTCTACAAATCAGAGTCCAATCCTTCCTTGTTTCGGGAACGCTACCGTTCCTCTGTTCACCCCCTCTCCACCTCTCTATCTGGGCAAGCAAGGGGCATCCTCAGACAAATCCCAGCCAGAGGAAGGCAGTCGAGGAAGGGGTGGAGCCATGGCAGAGTGCGTGTGGCCTCTGGAGTGGATTCCTCCTGAGGGCTAGTTTATCTGCAAGGTTGCCATACCTGAGATGCGCCCACTCAATCGCTTCCATCTGCAGAACCGGCACAGTTACACCTGCCACATAATACCTTTTAGCATAGCGGCACCTACCTGCATTCAAGGTCTTCCTTTCAGTGCCTGCTAAGAGCATTTTTGTTTAGGCAAGCCCACCCAGATGTGAGTTTTAATCTTGATGTGAGTTTTAATCTCTTTTTAGTTTATTATTATTTTTGTTACCTTCCCCTCCAAAAACCGCTTTGAAGTTTGTTAACAATCAAGCAGTGTATACATTTTACAAAATAATAAGAAATTTTGGGGAGGTTGGGAGGGTTGCATTTGCTTCCCCACCCAGACTAACCAACTGTGCCCCCCATCTTTCTATCCCAGGCTGGGCACCAAAACCAGCCCCTCAGCTCGCACCCATCAGCACAGGAGGCAGGCAAGAAGGCAGGGCTGAGCGTGTTTACTCCAAAGTAAGCCCCACTGAGTACAATGGGAGCCACTCCCTAGTAAAGGTATTTGGGATCACATCCTTTCTTCGCACAGCTGATGGCCAAGAAGGGTCCGGGGTTTGGGAGAAGAACAGCATACCATGGGAGGGAAGAGACAGTGAGCCAGCCAGTCAATTGCATAAATTTATTGTTTTGTATTACCCAGCATGTTCCAGGAGCCCGTCAGCCCCCCAGGGGTGGGAAAATGGGGGTCAGGAAGGAGGGAGGAAGGAGCCCAGCAGGATGGCTCCGTGGGTGCTGCTCCATCTTCTTCCCCATGGGGCAAACCCTCACCTGCTCCCTCCATTGCTCTAGGGCGCACCTGAAACAGGAAGACAAGCAGATCAGGAGAGGCAGCTCCTTGAGACTACAATTCTCTTTTCTTTGGTATGTAGGTTTGTATCTAAGGGAAGCGGGTGGCGCTATGGGTTAAACCACAGAGCCTAGGGCTTGCCGATCGGAAGGTTGGCAGTTCAAATCCCCACAACAGGGTGAGCACCGGTTGTTCGGTCCCAGCTCCTGCGCACCTAGCAGTTCCAAAGCACGTCAAAGTGCAAGTAGGTCAATAGGCACCGCTCCGGCGGGAAGGGAAACGGCGTTTCCGTTGATACGGAAGGGGGGGTGCCTTCCTTCACCCTTCCGCCAGTCACCAGAGGGTCCGAGGCGATGACCTCAAGGGCACCCAGCCCTACATTCACCCCTCAGCCCCCACACCGTTGCACAAGCACCACACCCTACCCAAGCCCCAAAATTAAAGTGCCTTTCCCTTTTTCCACACGGGCGAAATAAGCCCAAACTCTTAAGCCTCTCTCTCGCTCCATCTTTATCGTGGGTAGACCGTATCAAACTGTATCCCCCATTCGTTTCAATGGCTGCGTTCTACGCAATCAGAACCATGCATTCGCTTTGCAGAGCTAGCTCAGCGAGCTCCTGCACGCCTCATTTAACCTCTTGACAAGCTGTTGACGGCTCCCCGCTGGGAGAACAATGGAACCGAAACTCGTGAACCCATAAAAGTGTCAAATCTTGCAACAATGTATCTATTTTGTTTCTGACTTCAATTATCAATATAAGAATGGACTGAAACGGACTAAAACGTCTAAAATTCGTATAAAATCAACCGCAGCTCCGATTTTCTTGGTTTTGGTGTCGATCGACTCAGTTTCTTCAGGACTCCATGACACCTCCTCTGCCTCCATAATCCCTTGAGCGAGGAGTCATGTACTCAGGAAGACCCTAATCCAGTCAAATCACTCTGCCCAACCTTTCCTCCGGGCAATGCCAGGTGGAAGACTTTACATACTTGGACTATTGTCTTCTCATCACCGGTACTCAGGAAGCGCTTATCTCCAGCTCTGCATATTCCCCCTCCCTCCTCCGTATGTTAATCCTGTGTAACCCAACCTCTTCTTAATGTATTCATGATGTAATCTGTGTAACCCAACCTCTTCTTAATGTATTCATGATATAACTAGGATGTATTTTGCACTGTATTCTGGGACATGGAGGGAAGTTTCAAAAGTTCATGTCACCCCTTTCTCGCTGTTCAATCTCGTCTTGAACCTGTTGCGCAATAAACTTGGATCTTCTGCAGTTTGCTCCTGTCTCCGGCTGAGCTCATTTTCTTCCGCAGGGACCCGCGGACCTAGTCCGACGAGCTGGGTGACAGAGTAGCCCCGCACCCAGATTTTACCGTAACACCGTGCACTGCTCTGGTTTGCCAGAAGTGGCTTAGTCATGCTGGCCACATGACCCGGAAGCTGTACGCCGGCTCCCTCGGCCAGTAAAGTGAGATGAGCGCCGCAACACCAGAGTCGGCCACGACTGGACCTAACGGTCAGAGGTACCTTTACCTTTATGCTTGTATCTATGTAGGCTTCAAAATGTTAGAAGCGAGGGGCCCTAGAAGGGCTGGACACACGTCAAGTTGCAGGCTGGACATCTAGAAAGTTGTATCCAGTGAGTGTTCTGCCAACTACCCTTTGCAAATGTCTGCAGCGCTCTGGTTGGATTTTATATTAATTCTTTGTCTGTAAACCCTATAAAAGGTTCACACACACACACACACACACGTTAAGCCTTTGTGGAAGTGACCACGCTGAACCTATTTACTGCAGTAAATAAATTTTGGACTCTTTCTTCAACCCGACTCACGAGTAGTTAATAGTACTAGTGAGACAGCAGATTTGCCCTGCAACCGGATGGCCATCCATCAAGGATGCTTCGGTTGTGATTCTTGCATTGCTGGCGGACCAAATGATTCTCCAGGGTCCCTTCCCGCTCTACTAGTCTAGGATTCTATAATTGGGGATGAGTCTGACCCTCATTACTGAACCCCCTCTCAAGGGGACTTTCTCCCCCAGGGTCCCTGCAAAGCCCAGAGCTGGAGCTGTGCTTACCTTGACCCCCACAGGCTTCCTGACACATCTCCAGGGTGTCGAACCGGTTCAGGTTACCCTGGCAGCCCCCATAAACGAATTCCTCACACCTCTTCTTCCCCCAGTTGTAATACAGTTTCCGTATTAAAGCCTTGCAGGGACCTGTGACAGGAGGAAGTCTGCAAAGATCTGGAGGAGGAAGAACAGGAGGAAGAGAAGTGCTGGGGGGGGGGGAATATTTGTGGCACACGAACAGCAACACTGCTTGCCACACAGAGTCTCGTTCTGCGCAGCTGCCCACCCACAGCACAAGCCTGGGGTGCCACTTCCCCCTAACGTCCCAGGGTAGCTTACAGCAATTAAAAACAGAAAATTTAAAACAGCTTAAAATGTGTTTCAAAGCTCCGAAGCAGACAGACACATGCAAGCTCATTCCTGAAAGCAAAGAGCAATTAATCAAATGCTGACAATTTTGACTCCCATTTGCAGGCCTTCCGAGACATTTTCATCGTTTGCCTTTACGCAATCTGGCTTTTCCAGTTGCAGGCCACAGTCTTGCCTGGAGGGAGTCTGGAGACGTGAACGTTCCTAGGAGAGATAATGACAGGTCGCAAGGTGGCAATAACCCTCCCTGCTTTTCCAAAAGAAAAAGAAAAAAAGATGTGCGTAGTAAACAGGCCAAAAAGGAAAGAAGCACAGAACCTGGAAGGGAGGGCATTCTTACTTGGCTGAGGTGCCTGGCAGGTGTTGCCACAGGGCGAACCACAGCACTTCTTGCCTGGTGGGCAGTTGGCATCCGAACTGCACTGGTTGCAGGAGCCCCCACCAGAGGGGTCAGTAGACTGGACAGGGAGTTCCAGGCAATAGCCAGGTCGGTCTGGAAGGAAAGAAAGACAAGTGGGGACCAGTTTAGCCACTGGGGGAGAAGGAAGACATTGAAAGGAAGGCATAGTCGACCAGCTGCCCCAAAGGGAAGCTCACAAGCAGAATTCCAGCAAAACAGCCCTCTCCCCTCCTGTGGTTTCCAGCAACTGGCGTTCAGAAACGTTGCTGCCTCCGGCCCTGGAGACAGAACACAGCCATCTGAAGAAGCGTGCATGCACACGAAAGCTCATACCAATAACTGTATTTTTCGCTCCATAAGACACACTTTCCCCCCTAAAAAGTAAGGGGAAGTGTCTGTGCGTCTTATGGAGCGAATGCATGGTCCCTGGAGCCGAATTGTCCAGGGGCAAAAAGCAGATCGTGCTTTTTTTTTTTTTTAAGAAAGAGGGAAGGGGGTGTTGAAACGAAGCCGCTGAGCAGCTGATCGGCAAGCGATTGGAGGGAGATAAGGGATGCTAACGATAAAGGAGGCTGCTTGGGAGGGGGGAGGTAAAAGCACATGGATCCTCAGGATTTTTGCACTGGGTCACCCCAAATTCACCATCAGATCACATAGCATGTCCATGGCTACAGCCTGCACAAAAAAACCACACACCCACTGTTGCGTGGTGCCGCAATGGCGCAAAAACGTGGTTACAAAGCACGGATCCACATGGATCCTCAGGATTTTTGCATTGGGTCACCCCAAATTCACCATCAAATCACATATCATGTCTGTGGCCACAGCATGAACCACAAAAATGATACATCCACTGTTTTGTTCAGAATATTATTTTTGTGTGTTTTCCTCCTCTAAAAACTAGGTGCATCTTATGGAGCAAAAAATACGGTCGTTGGTCTCTAAGATGCTACTGGAAGGAATTTTTTAATTTTGTTTCAGCAGCCATCTAGGTTAGTGGCCAACTCTTCTATGATGCTTGGGAGAAAAACTTTTCTCTAGCCTCATTCTCCATGCCGTGCATAATTTTATAAATTTGCACCATGCTGCCTCTTGGCCTTTTCTCTAATCGAAAAAGTCCTAAATGCTGTATTCTTTCCCCATAAAGGAATCTCTCCATCCCCTCGATCATTTTGGTTGCCCTTCTCTGAATCTTTGATGCAAAGGTTCCTGGGGGATTGGGGGGGGGTTCATAGCTTATCTTCGGTTGGCAAAACATCAGGGGTTTCCTGATGATCCATGCAGTTGGTTGGGAGCTCCAAGAAAGGATCAGAGAGGGTCTTGCAAGAGCAACCTTGCAGTTTGAGATCCAGATGGGTCCACTTAGCCCAGCCTCCTGCTTCCAATGGCGATCAGCTGCCAGGAAGCTCCCAAGAAGGGCATGAAGTCAGGAGATGCTCCCTGCCAGCCACATGCCCCACAGAAACTAGCCGTCAAAAGGTGAAAGAAACATCGCCACCCAACCCCAGTCCCACTCACCAGCCCCCCCCCTTCCTAATGTAACACTAATGTCTAACAAATGAGACTGGTCTGTAGAAAATGTAACTTGAAAAAAAGAGGCATTGCACATACTTTTGTAAACCAAGAAATCTTTAATAAAAACAAAACAAAATAAAATAAAAAACAGAACAGCAGAATTGTTTTTGACCAGATATTATAATTTCTGTTATAACCATATATTTATTTTTTTCAAACCACTTGCTTTTTCTTAATCATAGTGCTTTGCTGTGTTCAACACAAGGCAAAGTTAGATGAGACAGTTTGCATATGTATAGTGTGAGATATATATGTATGTGTGTTCTCTGCAAACTGTTCAAATAAATTACCGTTTCATTAAAAAAAGAGAAAAAGAAAAAAGGAACTAGCCTTCAAATGTATCTTCCTCTCTTTTTGAAAATCAGACAAATCTTTAAATGATATAGTGATTTCTAGTGGCTAGATGTTTCCATATTTTTTAGAAGAGGAAGAAGAAGACGAAGAAGAAGATGAAGAAGACGAAGATGAAGACGAAGAAGAAGAAGAAGAAGAAGAAGAAGAAGAAGAAGAAGAAGAAGAAATGACTGTATTTTGAGGGGTGGATGGATAGTTTAGTTCCATGTGTGTGTGAAGGAAAGCAAGAGTTGTGAGTCTGACTTAAAAAGCCACCCCAGTAGGCCTAAATAAATCAGCCTGTGGAGCCCTAGTTGGAGGGTATTGGGGAAGCCTAGCATTTCAAATTCATGCCCCACTGGGAGGACAAGGAATGGTCAGGTAGCAAGCCAAACAGAGATGGGAGGGAGCTGGGTTTGGTGGTCTTGGACCAGGAGGCCAGAGGGACCTCTCTTCCCAACCGCCCACCTGGTAGCTCACAGGACTTACCTTGCGATACGATATGTGGCAGGTCAGCTGCAAGGACCAGCAGCCCCAGAAGAAGGGCGACGCCACCTCCCGAGGCCATCGTGGTGCGAAGTGAGAGTGCCCAGCGCTGAGTCAAGTCATCCTGGAGATGTCTCCGTCCCAAGCAGGGGAGGGGCGGTGGGAAAGACGCCACGTCTAACTGTCTGCCAGCCCCTTTCTCTTGCGCAAGGGCATCCGTGCCAGCCAGGGAGGAGCTGTGAGCAGAAAGTGCAAGTCAGCTTGCTTCCCCTCTACGGTAAGCCAGGCTGGCATGCCTGGACACACAGGTAAGTAGTCAGGCAGGAGGAACCTGAGCCTCTGAGGCACCATCAGGAACTCCTGGAGTGTTGGACATGCTGGGATCCCTCTTCACAGAATCTCAGGAATTGCAGCAAAAGAAGGCCTGACAGGTGGTCATGCAACCTCTGTTGAAAAACCTCCACTCTCCTTTGTTGTCTTTTGAATCTGCTGTTCAGGTTCCTCCTGTGCAGCAGAAAACAAGTTTGCTCCGTCAGATATTTGAAGATGGCTATCATCACGTCACCTCATAGTGTTCTCTTCTCCAGGCTAAACATACCAACTCCATCCATTGTTCCTCACAAGGCTAACTTCTCCATATCCTAATAATAATAATAATAATAATAATAATAATAATAATAATTTTTATTTATACCCCACCCTCCCTGGCCAGAGCCGGGCTTAGGGCAGCTAACACCAGTAAAATTACAGTAAAAACTTAATAGGGGAAAGAAGAAGAAAAACCAATTTAAAATACAGGTTTAAATGGAATTTAAAATGCAGCCTCATTTTAAAAGTAGCCCATAGATCAAAACCATAAGGGGAAGGAAACATAAGGGTCAGACTGAGTCCAGACCAAAGGCCAGGCCCTGCGGAAAGATGTTAAGTCCCGCAGGGCCCTAATGATTCTTTATTGTTGATTAAATTTGCATACTGCTCTTCACCTGAAGCTATCAGGGTGGTTCACAGCAAAAACAAACAAACCCTGTAGTGCCCAGAAGTGGAGACAGCACTCCCCGCAGTGAGAGGCATTTCAGGCTCCCCAACGGCCCCCATCGAGAAGGAAACCAGAGTCTTCCCTCCCCAGTCTTACCTGCTGTGAAAGGGAGGGGCTTTTCCTACTCTAGAGGGTAGGACTTGAACCCATGGCTTCAAGTTACAAGAAAGGAGATTCTGATTAAACATCGGGAAGAACTTTCTGGCATTAGGGGATGTTCAACCATGGAACGGTCAGTAGTGGACTCCCCTTCCTTGGAGGTTTTTAAGCAGAGGTTGGGTGGGCATCTGTCACGGATGCTTTAGCTGAGATTCCTGCATTGCAGGGTCTTAGACTAGATGATCCTCAGGGTCCCTTCCAACTCTACAGTTCTATGATTCAATATTCTATTATTCCTATGAGCCAGTTACAGATTATAAGTCCAGATTCCAGAAAGGGCTGGGACAGGAACATGCACAGGGTATGGATGGCAAAACAGGGGTTGTGGGGACCTGGCTGCGAAGGGAAATGGACAGAGAGAGCAGCTCAGGATTTGAAAAGCAGGGGCAAAGAGGGGAAGGATTTGCTGAACCAACAAACTGAACTGGAATACAAAAAAGGGAGGCGTGAGGAGGTCCGGGAAACAAGCTAATGAAAAATAAGTAATGGAAAGATTGAGTTGTTTTTAACCATTTTTATTTTGTATTTTCTTCTTTTTTTATTTTTATTTTGTAATATTTTGAAAATCTTAATAAATATCTTATTAAAAAAAAATGAAAAGCAGGGGCTAGTGGGAAGCAAAAAGAGATGTGAGTGCAGCCTTGGAGGGGGTTTCTGCTGGGGATCTGCTCCAAAAACAAGACCTTTGGCTCCAGCAGAGCTTGCAGTGATCTGGTGACCTGGACAAGCATATCTGATCTCCCCCTTCCTTGTTCTGTCATAGCAAATTGTTCCCTCTTGTGAGTGCAAGCAGGAAAGAACCTGAAGTATGTAGGTGACACAGGCATGCAGACCCAGAGGGGAAGTTTAGCAACATCTTTTCATACTTTCCAGATGCTTCGTCCATGAGGGCTGCTGCTCATCATGGCCTCCTAACTGGGCCACAATCGCTGCCACTAGCGCAGGAATAGCAGAACAAAAAGGACAAGAAAGTAGCCAGTGTAACAACAATTTTTTTAAAATGGGATCCAGAGGGCATTCTGGGAATTATAGGCTGGCTAGCTGAACAACTGTTCTTGAAAGTGGAAAGTGTTCTTAAAGACAAGATAACCAAGCGTACAGAAGGACAAGCCTTGCTGAAGCAGAGCCAGCATGGCTTCTGCAAAGACAAATCATGTCTTACGAACATATTGGAGTTCTCTGAGAGTATCAACAAGCAGATAGATAGTGGTGATCTGGTTGACAGTGAACCCCTAGAGGTTCATTTTCTTTTTTCGCCCTTTCTTTTTTTTCTTTTTTGAAAAACTACCTCACCCAAGACTTCTGAGTAAGCTTAGCAGTCGAGGAATAAGAGGAGAGGTCATTTACCGTATTTTTTGCTCTATAAGACTCACTTTTTCCCTCCTAAAAAGTAAGGGGAAATGTATTGCGTCTTATGGAGCGAATGCAGGCTGCGCAGCTATCCGAGAAGCCAGAACACAAGAGGGATTGCTGCTTTCACTGCGCAGCGATCCCTCTTGCTGTTCTGGCTTCTGAGATTCAGAATATTATTTTTTCTTGTTTTCCTCCTCCAAAAACTAGGTGCGTCTTGTGGTCTGGTGTGTCTTATAGAGCGAAAAATACGGTGCTTTCTTGGTCTGGGTCCTCACCTCTGGAGCATCTGGAAACAAGCTTGCTCCATCTTCTGTGTAACAGCCCTTCAGATATTGGAAGGTTTTTGTGATTCTATTAAATCCAGGGATCCACCGTGCAATTGACGCAGCTCTCCTCTTTGGTTTTTCAAAGTATAGGGAATCTTTGGATTGAGGGAAGCGAAGCAGCTGAAGAAGAACAAAGCACAGATAAAGGAGGTGCTAGAAGGGATCACAACCCACAACAAGCCAAGGGACAGATGTGCCCTAAATTCGTTTCTGCTGCAGCAGGAGAAAGAGGAGGAGCCTTGTTTCTGAGCTCTGCACCCGTGGTTCACACACTAAGTGTGTCATTTGCTCTGCAGACAAACATCCTGTCCCAGGGATGTCTCAGGTGTAATTGAGATGCATTAGATGCCTCATTCTGCAGAAAGCATCCAAGCGCTTGTCATCGTCAGGGCCTGGTTCAAGGGAAGAGTCTGACGGGAGCTTCACCTGAGCGTCTGCAGGTGCCCCAGTCACCCTGCAGCAATGAGGAACAAGGAGGAGGAGACGCAGACTTGGCAACTAGGCCTCACATGAAGCAGACAGAGGAACTTCTGCCTTCCTAGTGGAACAATCACCATCCCCTCAGGCAGGGGACTGGGTTGGGCTGCACCTAATGCTCTTCTGGGAAAGCATTTCAAAAACAATATCAATCCAAGTGCTGAGCATAAGGAGATGATCTTCCTTAACACAAGAAGAGCCTGTTAGATCAGGCCAGTGGCTCACCTAATCCGGCACCCCCTTCTCACAGCAGGAAACCTGTGGGAAACCAGCAAGCAGGATTCTTGCTTCCCCCAGTTTCCAGCAACGGGTATGTGGAAGCAGGGCCAAATTTAGGTTTGATGAGGCCCTCAGCTCCTGAAGGTAATGGGGCCCTTTATATGTCCAGTTATCCTTTGTCAACAACAAATTGTTGCTGTTTTTTGGTGTTGAATATATGCTAAATGGTAATTTATGGATCTCATTGGTATCTCAGGCCATTTGCACATGTTGCCATGCAACTAGTCCATTCAGAATGTAAAGGTAAAGGTAAAGAGACCCCTGACCATTAGGTCCACTCATGGACGACTCTGGGGTTGTGGCGCTCATCACGCTTTACTGGCCGAGGGAGCCGGCGTACAGCCTCTGGGTCATGTGGCCAGCATGACTAAGTGAACCAGAGCAGTGCACAGAAACGCCATTTACCTTCCCCCTGGAGCAGTACCTATTTATCTACTTGCACTTTTGACGTGCTTTCGAACTGCTAGGGTGGCAGGAGCAGGGACCGAGCAACGGGAGCTCACCCCGTCACGGGGATTCAAACCGCCGACCTTCTGATCAGCAAGTCCTAGGCTCTGTGGTTTAACCCACAGTGCCACCCGCATCCCAATACCCTATATATAGAAAGGAGCAAACCAGTGATATTTTAGGGAGCAGGCGAGCAGGCGGGGCCCATGACTTACATCATAGGAGCCTACACAACACAAAACACGGTTGCTGTGTGTAGGTTTCATTTTATTTGTTTTTTATCTTATATTTTAGAAATGTACATCCAGGCGTTTCTTTCTTTAATTTTTTTGGGGGCCCCCAAGAGAGTGGGGCCCTAAGCTAGAGCTTGTTGAGCTTATAAGTAAATCTGGCAGAGCAGAGCCATTCTGGCTAGGAGCCATCAATTGTCCTCTCCTCCTCCATGAATTTGTCCAATCCTCTTTTAAAGCCATCTAGGCTGGTGGCCCTCACTCCCTCTTGTGGGAGGGAGTTCCATAGGTTAACTGTGTGAGCTGCTTGGAGAAGGACTTTCTTTTATCTGTTGTGAATCTTCCAATATTGTTGTGAGAGAAGAAGGGAAACTTTTCTTTATCCACTTTCTCCATTCCAGGCATAGTCTTATCTTCTATCATGTTGCCTTCTCTCCCTCACCTTTTCTCTAGACTAAAAAGTCCCCAAACGCTGCAACCACTCTTCATAGGGTAGGGGTGTTATATTTCAAAAAGTGAAAATCTACAGCTTCTTCTTGTTGTTGTTTGGCCAAAGTTGGAAAACTTTTTTTTTTTTTTTTTTGCAAAATCTCAAAAAAAAAGGGAGGGGGGCTAAGGAAATTCTTATGAAATTTGCCAAAATCTACACTTCCGACGTGGGCTGCCATACGTCCAGATTTCCCCAGACATTTAAGCAATTTTCGCTCGGACGTATGGCAACCCTATCATTGGGGAGTCACCCCCCACCCCCACTGATCATTTTGGTGCCCTTTTTCTGAACCTTTTCCAGTCCTACAGTATCCTGTTTGAGGTGAGGCAACCAGAACTGTACACAGC